GGACGGAAAAAAATAACTGCATCAGCAGAAATGGTTCGAAAAGTAAAGAAGCGACTTGATCGAAACCCGCGTCGCATTGATCGAAAAAAGGGCTCGTGACCTGAACATATCGCAATATTCCATTCGGCAAATATTGAATAATGAGCTCGGGGTAAAACCATTGAAATTCCAAAAAGTGCAAGAACTTACACCGTAACGGAAAGAAAATAGACTCAAAATAGCTAAAGAGTTGCTTAGCTTGGCCGAAATGGTGAACTGCCGAATTTGCAGCAGTTTGTAAACAAACAAAATGATGTGTTTACTTGCCAAAGAGGTCAGCTGAAAATGTGCACCTTTGGTTGACCGCCAGAACTCAAGCGCCGGCCATGGTGATGGTGTGGGCCGCCATCAGAATAAATGCCGAATGTAATCGCAAAAATATTCTGGAGAGTGTATTAAAGCCATGGGCACGCAATCACTTCGGTTGCAGACCTTGGACATTCCAACAGGACTCAGCACCATCGCACTCAGCATGCACCACCCAAGAATGGTTACAAAATGAGGTTCCTCGCTTCATTTCCAGCGCACATTGGCCACCAAGATTTTCGGATACCAATCCGTTGAACTATAGTGTCTGGAGTATTTTGGAAAGCAAGGTTGGCACAAAATACCAAAGTGTCGATCACCTCAAGCAAATGCTTCGCCGGAAATAGGCCAAAATCCCGCAGAGCAACATTCCGGAAGCGTGTGACGGCTCATTGGCCGTTTGAAGGCCATAATTCATTCCAAAGGTGACCAATTCAAACAAATCTAAACTTATTCTAAAATTTTAAGCTATTTCCGACATTTTTTGCTTTCATTCTATAAAATTAAAAAAAAGTAAAAATTATGCCGTTTGATTTTGTTGCAGTTTTTTATTTATATTATATATTATATATTATTATTATGTATATTTTTGATCAGCGTAAAATTCTAAGCCGATGTAGCTCTGTCCGTCCGTCCGTCTGTTGTAATCACGCTAGAGTCAAAACGAATATAGATACGAAGCTAAAATTATGCACAAATCAGCCTTTTTTCTGCAGGCAGGTCAAGTTCGAAGATGGGCTATATCGGTCCACGATATTGTATAGTCCCCATATAACGGCACACTTTCGATATTCGGTATTTTGATGATTGTGGTCAAATTTTTCAATGATATTGTCTGAAAATCCGCACATGGATTTCCTACTGAGTGCTTTACCCCCTCGAAGAGTATTGTCTATATAGGTATCTCTCGCTCTCCACTAATAAACAAACGTTGATTTTATAAAAACAACAATAAAGGGATTAAACCTGACCATTTTGCAACAACAAAATGCTATGGTATCCCAAACAAACAAGTCAGCACTGTTCCATTTCGTATTTAGAGTTTATAATGGGATTTACAGGTCCAATATCTCGGTACCTCCCTATATTCTGTATTTTGGTATGGTATCCCAAACAAACAAGTCAGCACTGTTCCATTTCGTATTTAGAGTTTATAATGGGATTTACAGGTCCAATATCTCGGTACCTCCCTATATTCTATATTTTGATAATTTTAGGTACAATGTTTACCGAAATTGTTTGAAATTTTGTATTTGAATTTCCTAATAGGTACTACAGGCTGTAACAGAAAGTCGTCCATGCAAGTCCAAGTCTTCGTACAGCTCCAATATAACAGTATTTGGATTTTGTAATGACTGATGACAAAATATACCTATGCAGGTACACGTCTATGTCTAGACTCCAAAATAACAACTATAATCGGTATTTTTAAGATTTTAACAGATTTTTTAACGGATTTTATTTTATTGAAAATTTACAAATTCGTTCCAAATGGGGGAGGGTATTCAAAGATCGAATGTGCAGTAAAAAGGGAACTTTGTATCATGACTACCGGCTAACAGTTTTTGATCTGGCTGCACCATTCATATTTCAAAACGCCAAAACTATATTTTTTTGTCGACCATACAAGGCAGAAGGGAACAGAAAAATATATTCTATGTAACTGCTGCATATAACGTAGACCAAAAGTTTATATAGAGCCTATTATGTAATGTAACTAGGTTTTCAGCCAAACCTTTCAAGTGAAACAATATTAGATTAAATTGTTTTTTTTTTTTAAACCAATACCTACATCAAAATTCCTATAAAATAAATTTAAAAATGTATACACTTTCAAATAACGCGAAAATAACCAAGCACACGATAAGATATAGCATTTATAATTAGTGTTTAATTTTATATTCCCCAAAGTCTGCAAATGAGAACTACCGTTTAACATAACACGTACCCGCGGCAGCAATAGCACATCTTTGATTTTTTTCTCTCTCTTTTAAAATTAACTTTTCATTTCGTCGTTGGCCATACGTCTCTTTGAATACTGCAATTAATTTTATGTGTTTTAAAACTCCAATTTTTATTGCTTTTTTCTTTTGCGTCTTATTGAAGCGCTGATTTAGACAACTAACCGTGAATATTAAATCGAAACATGCATGCAGACAGTCAGGCAGCCAAAGTTATTTCCCCCTACAAGCTTTAAGCGCGAATCAAACGAATTTATTTGAATTCATTGGCTTCTGATACACAATTGGAAATGTTATTTGTTTTTGGATGGCCGGCCACTGATAATTATGATTTTTGTGTACTTTCTAAATTGTTATCTTCATTTACCAATTTCAATTATGAGATAATACTACTTTTTGCCAAATGCAAATGAAAATTAAATACCGACAGAATACCTCCTAAATATCTCCTACAGATAAAATATTTTTAATACGGCTTTTCAATAACCTGAAGCTCAACGCAAATCAACATACTAAAGGGTGATTGTTTAGCTATAATCTTTTTCACAACTCTGGTTTAAACAGCCCACGGGTGTTTCCTGTTATGTTTCACTGTAAAACATCTTCAGTTTGGTCTATAATTTAACCTTGCAAATCATTGAATTTTAATATAACAAGTTAAAAAGTATCAATCGGTTTTTCCGACAGATGTATACCGTTAGCCAATGTTCGATTATTTAAAAATATTTTGACTTCTGTTATGATTATTAAGGGGTTGATCCTGTATTGGGTAGGTTCCGAAGGAATAGGCAAATATATGTATTGAAAAAAAAAAAATAGGCAGATATAAGTATTGAAAATGTTGAACCTGAACGGGAGGTACCAGTAGGTGTGGACGGATATATCCCATCTTCACAAGAGATCTTGGTTTAGTAGAGATAATGGGATGTCAGAAATATGAAGAGAACCGGATGCTTATTTCGGATTTTATAATCGTTTGACCATTTACCTTAAGGACCTCCCTTACCTTTTTTTTGAAAATTTCGATCTTTTATGAGTATGGTACCAGAAGGACTGAACCGATATTGCCCATCTCCGAACTCGATCTAAATTTGAGAAGAATATAGAATAGTTATCGTGCGCACCAGCCAGCCAGACACTAGATCCAAATTTTCTGAAACAGATATGGTCTAATGAGACATAGGTTCTAATACCGTTATTTCGATAAGGCACGTTTTGGCCGTATCAAATGATATATGCCTATCTTTGGCTGAGGGTATAAAAATGCGTGCTCTGTTAAGTTTCAAAAAAGAATAAAGATGAAGCTCGTTTTTGGTTCACTGGGTACGAAAATAAGCAGAACTGTCAATTTTTTAATTAAAGATCAGCCAAATGAATTGATAAAGCTACCAGTACAAAAGTTAAAAGTGGCATCATTGAACCTTCATTTCTTCAAAAATATATCGCGAATCAAATGGTGCGCGCTCCAACCTTGTTTTGCCCGAAATGCAAGAACTTGCCTGCAAGACATGTGGTTTCAACAAGACGGCGCCACATGCCACACAGCACACGTAACAATGGACTTATTGAGAGGCGAGGTCGTCACCAGCCAAATCGTGCGATTTAACGCCTAAAAATTATTATTTGTGCAGCTATAAAGCAGTTAAAGCTCGTGTCCATACAATTAAGGCATTGGAAGAAAATATTGAAACATATTTTTAACCCCTTTTTATACCCTCCAACCTAGTATGGAGGGTATATTATGTTTGCCATTCCGTTTGTAACATCTCGAAACATACATTTTAGACCCCACAAAGTATATATATTCTTGATCAGCATAAAATTCTGTGTCGATTTAGCGATGACCGTCCGCTTATCCGTCCATGTGGAAATCACTCCAGCTTCCGAACAAAATGAAGTAGGCTGATTAAATTTTGCTCAAATGTATATTATGCCTGCAGGACTTTTGGTATTAAAAATGGGCCATGTAGGTCCACGCATTCGTATAGCCCCCCTATAATGATACCTCCTTATCTTAGGTATTTCGGTGATTTACGCGACATTCACCGGAAATGTTTAAAATTTGGTATTTAAAGTTCGCTATGGATACTACAGCCTGTGACAGAAAATTGTCCGTGCAGGTCCACGCCCGCATTTAACAGCACCTACCGATATTCCGTATTTTGATGATTTTAGCGAAATTATTCTCTGGAATTGTTTCAAATTTGGTATTTGAAGATCGTAATAGATACTACAGCCTATGACAGGTGCAGATAAACGGCTTCGTATAGCCCCCATATAACGGTACCTCCCGATATTCGGTATTTTGATGATTTTACCTACATTATTCGCCGAATTTTCTTTTTTCAAATTTCGCATTTGTATATTGTAATAACTTAGAACGAAAGTTGTCTATACAGGTCCACGTGGTCGTATACAAACGGCCACATTCGGCATTTTTAGAATTTTAACAGAATTTTTAAACACATTTTATTTTTTTTTTTTTTGAAAATTGCAAAGTTTGTTCCGAATGATGAAGTTATTCAAAATTCGGGCCGGCCGTATTTACAGTTTTTATACTCCTTTATTTATTTTTATTTTATTTTGAATTAATTACACCTTTACTTTTATTGCTATTTTTTAGTTAATACTTAATAATATTTAATTGATTAAATATTTTATTTATCTACTCAAAATTTATTTTCACCAACTTACCTTATAAACTTCTGAAAAGAATCCCGAACCGATTTTCTCCTTAACAAAATCATCCACTGAATATAGGGCCGATACGGCCGTACGTAAGGCCTTGCACGATGGACCGGTAACCAAACGATCCGAGGATATTGTACGCGACACGGGTGGCGGTTGTATACCACTCATTGAGGCGGTTGTTGTTGTTGTAGAACAACCATTTGCTGTAATGGCACTGCCATTGTAAAGGACATCACCACCATTTTGGGTGCGGGAATTTTCAACAGCTGCTGCGACTACTGTAGCACCGCTACAACTACTGCTACCATTTTGTGTGGGCGAGGAGGTGGTGGTCATATTTGTTGTAACATAAGCACACATTATTGTGGGTACGGTTGTTTGACCACTGTTTGTGTTGGAGGAGGAGGACGAGAATGTGTTGTTGTTGTTGTTGGAAGTACTTGTTGTTATAGATTTAAAACTTGGAGTTGTTGATTTTTTGGCACTATCAACTTGATCGTACGAAATTAATTTATTGTCATTTGTGGTTGTAGTCAACTTTGTTGATGCTGTTGTTGTTGTTGCAGCCTTAATGCTATTGGCGACATTCACCTTGGGGGGATTTGACACTTGTATGGTTTTCTTCATTGATTGCATTTGTTTTGGCTTTAGGTTTGATGATGACGACGACGACGACGGCGAAAAAGACGATGTTATGGCTGACGTGGCAATAGACGGCGGACCAGGACCACTGTGTTGATTCAAATTCATTATTATCACCGTTGATAAACGCGTACCAGCGCGTTTGTCTTTTGCTCGAACATTACCGTTTTAGAAAACCGAGAAAAACGATGCAGTTATACGAATTGAAGAACAATAAAACCGAAATTGAGGCAACTACCGAACGCACTTTAAGTAAGTTGTTAAGGATTTTTTTTTTTGTAATTTTTCTTAAAGAACGGCCAAAGGAGGGGGAAGGAAAATTATGTATAACACTTTTTTTAGAAATTTTGAAATTTGAATTTTCTTTTAATTTTGTATGCCAAATTTGACAAATTTCTCCAAAAAACAAATAAACATTAAAAAAAGAAAATACAATCGAAACTCTTTCGTATAACCACCGAATACAATCAATCTTTTTTATATCAATCACTTATAAGGAGGCCAGCTCACCAACACATCTCTCCGTGGTAAGTGGAATATTTTTTAACGGATTTTCAAAATGACTTAACAGATTTGTAACGATGATGCTCTTTGATCGATCGAATCACATCACTTCTTTCTTTGTGGATTTTTTTGGACTTGCTGGCTGGCTTTCTTCTTCTTTTGTTATTATTATAATTATTTTGTTGATTTTATATATCAAAAAAATTTAATTAAGCGATTATTTTTGAATTCTTTTTCTTTTTCTTGTTGTTGATGATTTCGTATCTGGAATCCGTTTGTTTTAATTCTTTTGATTGGTTGTTTGACTTTCACACATTTTTATTTTTATTGTATTTTTATTTGCTGTTGCTGCTGCTGCTGCTGCTGCTCTTGATCATCAGCATCATCATCAAGATGTGCTTCTATTGTCGCACTTCTTCGGTGCCCTTGTGTCTCAGCAGCGATAGATTCTGCAAATAATGAAAAGGAAAAGAAGAAAAATAAACATTAATTAAAATTTGTTGTTTATCTCTTAATTTATGAAATGTTTGAATATCTGCAATGAATGAATGCACTTTTTTTTGTTTACAAACAACGTATTTATTTAAGAAATTATAAATATTAAATATTTATTTAACAAATTAACTTGGCAAGTGGCACAGAACTCCAACGGCAATAAGTAAATGGCGTAGTCCAGTAGCATACACGATACAGACCGTGTGAGCGTAAAATACGAAGAAGAAGATGTATAAAATTTTGTAAAAAATAATTACTGGAAACCCCTAGTAGGATTATGAAAGTAGAGCTAAAAATGACAGAAATTTTTGGTATTTTGGTATTGACCTTTTGAAAATATTCATCGCAAACCAACCTACTTGAGAGGGCAAACTCCCCAAACACACTTTTTAAATTTTGGAATTAAGACTTCTGTTAATCCATACATTTTAGGTACTCTTCACCAATAATACTGATACGAGGATTATTTCGATCGAACATTTTGAACACTAAAGCGACTCACAAACAAGTTGTTTTGGGCCTTTTTTTTTTCAAAAAAAAAATTGAACAGGATCGTGAGGAGTCTAACTATTCCACAAAAGAGGGATGGAAAAAAATATTCTTCATCAAATTTTAACTTGACCAAAGCAAAAAAATTCTATTTCCGTTATAAATCAAGTAAATTTTACCAACAAAAAAATTGAAAATATTTCCACTTCTTTCAAGAATATATCGGTCGACTCCTTCTGGTACCACCCACACAAAGGGTAAAAAATGTGAATAACCAATACAAATAACCAAATATAAATGCGTAGTAAGGATCCGATTCCCTTCAAATTTCACACGTATCTCCCCCACAAAAGGTCACAATTTTCAATATCTATACAGTGGGAGATAAAAAAAACTGAAACAAAGTCAAACGCCACCATAGCATTAAAATTTAGAATAAGTTTAGATTTGTTCGAATTGGCCACCTTTGGCACGAATTATGACCTTCAAACGACCAATGATACCTTCACACGCTGCCCGAATGTTGCTCTGCGGTATTTTGGCCCATTCCTGGCGAAGCGCTTGCTTGAGGTGATCGACACTTTGGTATTTTGTGCCAACCTTGCTTTCTAAAATACTTCAGACACAATAGTGCAACGGATTGGTATCCGGAGAATTTGGTGGCCATTATGCGCTAAACATGGAGCGAGGTACCTCATTTTGTAACCATGCTTGGATCCAGACACAATAGTCCAACGGATTGATATCCGGAGATTTTGGTGTCCATTGTGCGTTGGCATGTCCAAGGTCTGGGCCCAAAATGTTTGCTTTAATACACCCTCCGAAATATTTTTGCAATAATATTAATACGAGCGGAGAGCGATCATCGGCTGTTATGGCGGCCCACACCATCACCATGGCCGGCGCATGAGTTCTGGTGGCCAATCGATGATGCACATTTTCAGCTGACCTCTTTGGCAAGTAAACAAGATCATTCGTAAACCAAATTCGGCAGTTCAGCACTTTCGGCCAAGTGAAGCAACTCTTTAATTCTTTTGAGTCTATTTTCTTTCTGTTGGGGTGTAAGTTTTTGCACTTTTTGGAATATCAATGGCTTTACCCCGAGCTCATTTTTCAATATTTGCCGAATGGAATATTGCGATATGTTCAGCTCACGAGCCATTTTTTGGCTACTGCGACGCGGGTTTCGATCGAGTCGCTTCTTTACTTTTCGAACCATTTCTGCTGTTGTTGCTGTTCACTTCCGTCCACTTCCTTGACGTCGGGCTACGCTACCAGTATCACGGTAACGAGAGATGGTACGAGACACAATACGTTTATTTACATTTAAATGCTGGAGTGTTCTAAGGATAGCCACTTTTGGTTTCCCAGCCAAATATAAAGAAATCACACTATCATGCTTGAATTCCATCACGAATAGTTTTTTTCTGGAAAATTCTCACCAAAATGCTTTTAAACAATATAAAGAGCTGTCACTGGAATAATTGTAACAGCTGTCGGACGAGTGGCTTAGAAATGACAGTAGTCTGAAGTTGGTTGCAGTTTTTCATCTTACTCTGTATATCTCTTATAATTTGCGAAAAAAAAAAGTTTTAAAACTTAGCTTTTGGCTCACTTCTTCTGGTACCTTCCCACAAAATGTTTTAATTTTGAATAATTATTTGCAAAAACTTGGAAATAATATTTACAAGCTCATCCCAATATTAGTTTTCTCTATTAGATGAATTGGAATACTTCGGTTCACTTTTTGTAGTACCTCACGTACATTTCTTAATTTTTCCAAAAACTATTAAATTTTTCATGTAAAAGTGAATGAAGTAGTCCATATAGCCCAAATCTGGTACATTTATATCAGACTAAGGTCAGATACGAAATGGACAACACTGACCCACTCCTTTGGTACCTCCCCCGTAAAGGGTCAACGGGCTGAGGATAAAACTTTTTAACTTGTTTTTTTTTTTTTTTTTTTTTTTTTTTTGCAAACATTAAGCACTTCTTTTTTACAGTTCTAAAAATATGGGCAGGGGAAATTCCTTATGTTTTCTTTTTGAGATTTATTGCTGCTTGCAGATCATTTACATTATTTAGTTCTTAGTTGACATTTATATTTATGGTATGAAAACCTTGGCCCTACGAACAATTTATTAATACAATAAGTAATTGAAAATCAAAAAAGTAAACCAAATAAAAGTAGGTCTACATTTGATCTTTTTGCCTACATCATGAGAAATAATTTGACGTATATCCAATTGAATCCACTGGATTTACCAAATTCGGAACTCTGTAGACGTACTATAAATAAACCCACAGCATGATAATAATCTTCTATGAAATGTTTCCACATTATCGAAATTAAACACTTTAGTTTGGTACTATTCATTGTTACATTTTTCATTATTTTTGATAGCGAATATTTCCAAATTAAATTTCTAAATATATATTTACAGTTATATACAAGAATTTCACATACTGCGGTTTAACATTGAAATACGGAAAAAATTCCCTGTGGTCACCACAAAATATTTTATAAGCTTTTGTAACGTTTAGTTGAGTAGCACCTTATCTAACCTTGAAACTTTGTTGGTGGTTGTTAGAATTGGTTATTTGTTTGTGTTTTTTTTTTTATTTTAATAGAAAATGGTTCGGATGTACTTAGAAAATATTAGCTTTAGCTAATGATCCATTACTAAGAGTAAATATGGTTACAAATCTATTGGAAAAGGCCAATTACAGTTGAGTACCGTGCATAGTTACAGAGAAGCAATTTTTCCATAGCTTCCTAAGCTTAAACTATAAAATGTTAAGCAAAGCAATTTGACGTTACACATGTTTGTACATATAAACGTTACATATACACTGGTGGCCAAAACTAAAGCAACTGAAATTACAAGGAGGAGTAACTTTTTCAAAAATTAAGAAAATGAGAAAGATTTTCTTGTTTTAAATTATGTACTTTATTCACTTTTTAAAAACCTAAAAGATAAAACCAAAATTCATTTTTATATAAAAAATAATGTTTGGTAAAGTCAATTAACCCGATTTTGGCTTGGACAAAACAAAAGCAACTCTGTTGTACATTCATATAACCGCTGCAATTTCAGTTGTTTTTACTGTGATATTTATCGCTTTTTGCTTCCTTCGACAATTTCGCTTGTCATAAATCCATTTTGAGAAGTTTTTTACAACAGTATGTGTTTTTCTTTTCGTTTTTTAAGTACTGCCCAAAAAAATTTTAAAAATGGCTAAAAGCAAATATTGTACCTGAATAAAACAGCAAACTATCAAGTGACTATCAAAACAACATATTACAGAAAATGATTTCCGAGAAATATTTCATAAATATTTATGTGATTTCATTATTATTTCTGTGTACTAAGTCGGTTTTTTGAAACTGGATCAGTAGTAACAGTCTATAACGGATGAAGGCCGTGAAAAACTTCAGCCCGTACCGATCCACAAATTGTGAGAGAAATAAAAAACAACTATTTAAGAGTTCAACTGGATTGGTGAGAGAGCAATCATTGGATATAAGCTCGAGATCAGTGCGTAGACGAGTTGTGGCAGCTGGACTGCATGCCCGTAAGACATCAAAAAACCATTTTTATCTGAAAAAATCAAAAAGGCTTTCGGAAACGATAATATTAAGTGGAATCAAGCTCAATGGAAAAAAACATTATTTCTGGGATGAGTCTACGTTTAATATTAAAGGCTCAAACGTGAAAAATTTTACGATGAGAAGGCAAAAAAATGAAGGACTCAAGCCGCAGTGTTGCAAAGGTACAGTAAAGCATGAGGGAGGGTCAAAAATGGCGTGGCGCTGTTTTTCTTTCTATGGACTTGGGCCTATCCATAAAATAAAGGAAGTTGTGGATCGGTTTGTTTACAAAGATGTGTTGGACATCACGTTGTTCCCTTACGCTGAGTAAAATATTCGGCTGATTTGGGTGTTTCAGCATGACAACGATCCCAAACTTGTATCAAAACTTGTCAAATATTGGTTGTGGGAGTCAAAAATTCATGTTTTGTTATGGCCGGCACAATCACCTGACCTAAACTCCTAAGAAAACCTTTGGAGTATCGTAGATAGGAAGATCAAGAGAGATTCGGAAATAAATAAGCACAACATTTTCTAAAGAATTCAGGGTGCCTGGGAAGGATCAAATTGAGCGTGTTATAGATTCAATGCCTCGTAGGTGTGCAGCTGCTATCAAAAATAATGGTTATGCTATCGACTACTAGCCAAAATTTAATTATTTTAAAATAAAAAATCAAAAGTTGCTTTAGTTTTGACCAAGCAAAAATTGGGTCATTTTAGTTTTCCACATATTATTTTTTGTTCAAACTTATTTTTGTATTTTTATTTTTAGTTTCTTAAAAGTGAATTAAACCCGTCATTTAAAACTGGAAAAATAATTACGATCTGTTTATTTTTGTAAAAGTTACAGGACATTTATTGTCTTTGCGA